ACGACAAAAAGAGGTAGTAGTAAAAGAAGAGATGCATGGTGGAATGATGAAGTGAGAGAAGCTGTAAAAAAGAAGAAAAAAGCATGGTTAGACTACTTGGCCTCTAGTAACGATGAGCATATGAGAGAGAAGATGAAAGAAAGATATAAGCTGCAGAAAGTTCATGCGAAAACATTGATTGAGGAAGTACGTGAAAGGTGTAGAATAGAAGCGGACGAGAGGTTGTCGCACAACTTTAGGGAAAACTCCAAACTCTTCTGGAATGAGGTTGGAAGGTCCCGGAGTGGTACGACAGCCTTAAGAATGAACAAAGTGCTTTCGAGAACCAATGACGTCCTCTCAGAAAAATCGGACGTCATGCAGCGATGGAGTGAATTTTATAGAGAAATGTATGCGTGTCATGATCTTAGTGAAGGATCCGGGGGTGACGCCGTGACTGGCACGCCAGACACGGACCTCGATGACACTGAGGTCATCAGCATGAAAGAGATTGAACGTGCGATTTGAAGTTTGAAATGTGGTAAGGCTGCGGGACTAGACAGAGTTACTGCTGAAATGGTCAAGTACGGTGGGCCTCGCGTCTGGGACAGCTTCCATCTGCTGTGCAATTTGTGCTGGCGGACGGGAGATGTCCCGGATGATTGGCGATCCGCGGTCATTGTGCCTTTATATAAAGGTAAAGGTTCACATTTTGACTGCGGGTGCTATCGGGCGATCAGCTTGACCAGTTTAGCAAGTAAAGTTTACTCGAAGGTTTTGACACGTAGGATGCAAGAGAAATCGGAAAGATTCTTATGGGAGACACAATTCGGATTTAGACCTGGAAGAGGATGCACGGATCAAATGTTTTCTCTCCGCATGATCACGAGAAGCTTCTGAGTGTTAACCAGAAGATTTTCTGTGCTTTTGTGGATCTGGAGAAAGCATTTGATAAGGTTATAAGGAAGAAAATGTGCGAACTGTTGCCGGGATATGGTGTGGATGGTCGATTGTTAAGGGCTGTGCAGTCACTTTACTATGACTGTAAAGCCTGTGTGCGGTTAGGGCATGACCTGTCACCCATGTTTAGCGTCCAAGCGGGCGTAAAACAGGGTTGTGTCATGTCTTCCTGGATGTTCATACTGTATCTCGACAGCTGTTTACAGAAGCTGAAAAATGGCTGTTTGGGTGTGAAATTGGGTGACATAAAAGTTAATTGTCTGCTGTATGCTGATGATGCAGTGCTTATTGCACCATCACAAGCAGAACTGCAGGCATTAATCACGTGCATGAAAGAGGAATATGAAATTAAAGGTCTTCGTTTGAATGCTAATAAAACTAAGGTTCTGGTATTTTAAAAGGACGAAGAGAGAACGAAATGTGAAATATGGGTAAATCAAGGAATATCTAGAACAGGTAAATGAAATTGTATACTTGGGGAGTGCTTTCAGCCGGGATGGAAGATGTGATTTAGATGTGGATAGGCGTGTCGCTGCCGGAAACAAAGTCATTGGTGCCCTGAATGCATTAGTAAAAAAGGCAAGGCGTGGTGAAGAGTGCACGCCTTGCAATACATAATGCAGTGTTGGTACCGACTTTGTTATATGGCAGCGAAACCTGGGTATGCCAGAAGAAGCATAAAAGCAAGTTGAATGCAGTGGAGATGCGATCTCTTCGTAAAATGTGTGGCGTTACCTTAGCCGACCGAAAGCGAAACGAAGAGATTCGCAATATGGCAGAATTGAAAGATGACCTTATCACAAAAATTGATAGGGGCGTACTCCAATGGTTTGGGCACGTTGAACGAATGAGTGAAGACCGAATGGTGGAGAAAATATATAGAGCGAAAGTAAATATTAAAAGGTGTCGAGGTAGACCGAGACTAACTTTCGAAGACCATGTGAGCAAATTGCTCGAAGAGGAGAGGGTCAAGAGTACTCGGATACCTAGACGTGCATGTATGAAGAAGTTAATGAACCTGAAGGAAGCGAAAGAGGTATGTGAGGATCGTGACACTTGGCGATCTGTTCTCTCTGGCTATCCCGTTAGGGATTGTGCGTGAAGATAAGTAACTAAGTAAGTAAGTAAAAAAAAACAGATACTTAAAAAAGTATTAAAATATTAAAATTAAGTTATAAAATCAACAAAAGAAAGAAACAGTTCAAAAAAAAGTATCAATACATTTGTTGAATAAAACTAAATTTACGGTTTTTTTGCGTTTATTTACGTGAGTGAAACGTCAGGAATTAAAAATAAGTAAAATCAGTTAAATAAACGCGATAAAATCCGTAAATTTAGCTCTATTCAATGTGTGTGACAAATGACAATTTTGTGTTTGGCACACAAGTATTTATTGCACTGGGTGCAACAACTCTTTGTCATTCTTCGCTTTGCGGAGGGACAAATTGCACAAATTTATCTTTTTTTGGCGATAGGAAGACTAACTGCATCTTCTCTTTGATCAGTCTCATGCGTAGAAGTAGAACTACTGGTTCCTGGCATATTTAAAATTGCTGTCACTGAGTCCAGCAGCCCCGTTTGAAGTGTCGGAATTTGTGTTCGTTTTTGCATGTGTGGCTCGACTAATTTTTGATGTTTAGTTTGATTGTAAAACTCGACCATCGTGGGCTTTTTTGGTTAACTCATCAATTGTGCCCTCCTTATCACAAGTCGACAATAGGAGTATTGTCTTTTGGGGCTTTGGCTTGTATGCATTGTTGACGTACTTGCCAGGATGTCTTTAGTTGTAATTGGTTGTTGTCACAGAAAAAATTTCTTCCTCACCATCTGCTGACGAATAGTATCTAAAATAAAAATATATTAAAATAAAAATAATGTAAGTTCTTATTTCAATGTAGGCAAATTAAGTTCAAAGCTTACAAAACACCGAAATAATCATAACGGCAAAAAATGAAAAATAACTTTGCAAGAATAACGTTAATACTAACCTTCGTCGATTCGACGTCTCATGGTGGCTGGAACGGCGCACACAGGGCCCCTACACAAAAAACACACCCATGCGCTGCGGGAGCCTGCCTCGGGTCAACTGAGATCTGAGATTAGCCGGAATCTGGAATGTCTACGACGACGCACTCAAAATTTATACCAATTTTTTTTGAGTCCGCGTCGTCGTTTTGACGACGGTTAGTGATCTAGGGTTAAAGTTTACGATAATAAGTAATGAGCTCAGCAGCGAAAACACAAACGAATCGGTTTCGGAAATTTGCAAAAGCTACTGTCCGATCGTGTAAGAAATTTTATCTGATACTTACATGATTTAAATAGAATACGTGCTAAACTAGTTTGATTTGGTTTAGTCCTGAAGGCTGACAACGAATCTGCATTTTGATTCGCAAACGTGGATAGATAAGGATGTCTATGGGCCACAGCAACCACTTACCATCAGGTGGACTGTTTGCTTGCTTGTTACCCTTTTCTTTAAAAAAAAAAGAAAGCGGTTATAATTCCACTACATAAGGGAAAAAGGTCACAGCAGGATTATAAAAATTACCACGAATTTAGCCTGTTTAGCATCATCGAAAAAAATCTAATGTATTTTTTAATATAGAATAAGGGTACCAAACAAGCGCCCCTGATTCAGAATCAAACTGCAGATGCTTTGTCCATCATAAGGGCTAAGATTCAATTCCTCACTTTCATTGAAGGACTCTTTGGTTTTTTTGCTTTGGCTACTCTTCAAAATAGCTGAAAAGGTTGTGAAAAGAAATTTTAGGAACATATAGAATGCAAATCCAGGAGTGGTGTACTCCATATTTTATCAGCAAATATTGACGATTTTTTCGTAAATTCAACGAACATTTGCTAAAAAACTATCAGAGAATAAAAAAAGTTTTAAATAAAACTTCTTTAATTTGTAAAATAAAAATATAAATCAAGCACACAGACCACCTAATGGTAAGTGGTACAGAAACCAATTACTCATTTATCATCGATTACGAATCAAAATTAAAATGCCTTCTCACCCGTGAGCATAAAAATGGAATGCCTCGTTCCCAGTAAAAAGGGTCTTTGATTATTGACACTAAACATACGAAACACAGTAGCATTAAGCTACCATTTTACGCTGGACTTCTGTGAGCGCCTGGTCCTTCCCTGTATTATATAGTATTAATCATATACAACCTTCCTACCGACTGAGGAAACTGTACACTAAGAGTGACTGATCATGGGCTGTAATTAATGTAGAATCAATGTGGTAATGATATTCGGTATTTACAGAAATTGTCGCTGTTTTATGTAATAAGTAATTTTGTTTAATTAGGAGTGATAATAAATTCATTGAAATTGAATGATGTAATATAATTTAAAAAAAATTCGATACGATACTCACGCCATCTACTGTAAGTCAAATTTATTATGTCTATAACCTTCGCATAAATGCAAGCAATAATTTGAAAAAGATTTAACGCAATCTAATGAATGGTAGGACAGCGCATAAAATACGAACAAATAAACATTAATTTTCATATATGTTAGTTATAAAAACCACAATAGCCGCGGTAGATCACATATGCTTCCCCTTTAGATTACCGCATAGGGGGATATTGAGCAACCTCACTTTTTTATTTTTAGTCGATATCATGAAGACGCTTTTCCCTTTGTCGCCTAATACGTCACCCACGTGATGATATGGGGTAGTAGATATTCTTACACCGCCAGTAATCGATAATTATTAACTTAAAATAATTAGTATATAAATATATGTTGTACATATCTCGTTAGTCTAGTACAAGGTAAAATTAAAAAAAAATGTTATTGAACATTTTAACTCTTGGCATGACACGCCGGAGAGTTCAACTGCAAACGTTCAAAGAAAGAAACCTCAGAGCTTACTTCAGAACATTGACGTGATATTTGGACTAAAAGTAGAAGGTTGAAGCCAGGTTGAATGTAGTCCACTTCAGCTAACGATTAAAGTAGATTCATTGGGTATATAAACTTGCTATTTTCCTCAGATAAAAACAAGGAAGGCCAAGAGTTTCACAAATCGTCGTACAATAATGTATGTAACACGCCTCCACGATATGAGAGATAATCTATCTAAGAGGTAATGTTGAAGGAAAATTTGAATATATATAATAAAAATGTTTTCGTAATAGGTATTGCACTTCGTGAGTTCGAAATATATTTCTCACAAGATGGTAATATTTTCATTGTAATGAGTATGATTCTTGATGTATTAGTTTTTAATAATACCACTTTTAAAAAGCAAGTATCTAATCATTATGTGAAGAATTTATTTTCCCCTTAAACCTTTAGTCAGTTCACCCAAAGAAAAATGCAAAGCGGCTTATTTCTTAGTTGGGCTTACTTCTTATCGGACTTGACTAGCCGTAGTGTCCGTTATAACTTGCATGATATAGTAATGTAAGTCACGCTCATAAAGAATTCCTTTTAAAAACACGAAAGGGCCTTAGAATCAATCTTCCTGAAACTGTTAACTAGCTAAAAAACGTTAAATTAACACCGTTAAGCGACCATATCTACGGGGAAGAACGTTACTAAGTATTTTGAATTCAGTCGAAAATTTAACGTAAGATACATATTTTATGGCTTGGTTATGCAAGTAGATTTTGTGAAGTGCAAGATGATATTGTGACCCGTTGAAAGGAATGCTTAAGTGATTTAAATTAATGAGGAAAAATTGACAAAGCGCATTGTGTCAAAGTCGGCAAGAAGAAAGTGTATCGAATAAATAGGCGATATATTAAAGATAAGCGAAATTGAGAGTATCTTTAACCAGCGAGCATATGGATGTAAAAGAAGCGAGACAGGTGTATCAAGAACATGCCAAATGGTAATCCGTAGCAAGCCGTATCCAACAGTATTCCGATGATATCCCAAACGTCAGTTTAAGCGAGATTAGAATGGCTCTCCAGCATCTTAAAAATGAGAATGGAATTACAGCGAAGCTTCTGAAAGCGGATGGAACACCGGCACTTAAAGTCCTTCAGAAGCTCTTCAATAACGTCCTCCATGGTGGCACTACTCTGGACTCGTGGAGCTAAATTGCGGTGGTCTTATTCTTCAAAAAAGGCAACAACGCTCTCTTGAAGAACTACAGACTGATTTCCCTTCTGACCCGCGTTTACGTGCTGTTTTTGAGAGTCATTACGTAACGTTACGAACAAGCCGGTTTCCGAAAAGACTTCAGTACCATCGACTACATAGCGAGCTATAGAAAGGGCTATGCTCGGGGTTTGTCTGTGTCATATTCAAAGATTTATTGTTATTCTATTTGGGGATACTTGTTTACTTTGTTAACTAATAAAGTAAATTGAATGTAGGTAGTTTAATATTCACTTATGAAGTTTTGTCTTTTGTCATGCTACCAAGCTTTACACATTTCAACATTCAATCTCTTTGTTTTATTCTATATTCTGAACATATTAGTCTGCGTGATGAACTTAGAAAAGAAGATATCCACAGTAGAATCAGAGTGACCGAGATAGCCAAACGGATTGGTGAGCTGAAGTGGTAATGGGCCGGCCAATTAGCTCCAAGAACCGACAACCGATGGGGAAAAAAGGTACTCGAGTGGCAGCCTTGTACCGATAGCCGTAGCGTAGGACAAACCCCCCCCCACACTAGACGGAGTGACGACCTGGTAAGAAATGCAGGAAGTTGATGGAAGCAGGTGGTTCAGGACCGTGCTTTGTGGCAATACTTGGCGGAGGCCTATGTTTAGCAATGCACTTGTGAGGGGATGTAATGATGACGATGATGATCCAATATTATCAAAATTAGACTAATTATTTTAAGTTAATAATTATCGAGTAGTGGCAGTGTAAGAATATGTACTACCCCATATCATCACGTGGGTGACGTAAGAGGCGACAAAAGGAAAAGCGTCTACCTAATACCGACTAAAAATAAAATAAAAAACTGTGGTTGCTAACTTGCTTACCAAGCGTGGCAACTATGGAAAATATACCTCCTATGAGGTACTCTATGGGGAAGGAAATCTATGAGGTAATTCTTAAAACCTAAGGTTTATTTTTTAGAATAAATGTAACAAACGAAAGTTAGAAAATCTTTTTAATTCAGTACAATGTCTTGAATAAACATGTTCAATTTCAGTACAATGCGTTAAATCGTATTCGTGAATTCCGGCCGACCGGCCGGTCGCCATGTTTTGTCACAGTCAATGACAAGTATATCAGTTGTCATAGCGACTAGTTTGTTTTCAAATGTTTAAGAAAATTTAATGTTTTTATGCGTTTTATGCGAAAATTGTGCATTTCAAAACTAGTAGAGGACTACATTTATCATGGGCAGGTGCAGTGTAATAAGCTGCTGGATGAAAAACAAGAACACACATCAAAATATTACTTTGCATAGGTAAGTAACTTAGTTCTATTCCATAATGATCTAATGTTATTATACGCGATAAAATCCGTAAAAATTAATATTATTTAAATATGTAGTGTTCGCATAAATATAAGAAATCATTATGATCTAATGTTTTTCTATCATTATTTAGTGATCGAAAATCAGTACGATTCGGCAATTTTCAATATATCGATATATCGATAGATGAATAATTCCTATATAAAGAGGATTTCTTTTTTGTGGTTTTAGATTACCAAAGTGTGAGAAACAAATAGAAAAGTGGCTGAGTATACTTGGTATAGAAAACCTCAATACCAAATCTAAACACATTTTTATTTGTTCGCTACGTTTTGAAGAAAAATGTTTTAATCGAACTTTAAATGTTACAAGGCTGCGCGATGATGCTTTGCCTTCAAGCGAGTTGTTGGTAAGTGGTAAAATGCTTACGCAGTATGGCTGCAGGTTAAAAACAAGCAAAAAAATATTACAAACATATATTTGTATTTTTATAGTTACCAGCTCAATTTGAAGATTGTAAGGAACAAGAATCTGTTTCTCGCAAGGTGTTGGTAGAGAAACCTAGCTACAGCACTTCTAACTATGCAGAGGTAAATTATGTACTAAGAGAGTGCGGTGCTGTGGGTAACTAAAAAATCTTGACAAAACCTTTTAATAATACTTACAAAATATTTATTAATATTTTTATTTGACCTTTACAGTTATCAGCCCAATTTAATAAGTGTGAAGAACAAAAATCCGTTTCTCACATAGTACGAGAAGAGACGCCTGTCTGCAGCATTTCTAGCTATGTAAATGTTAGTATGATATTTCATAATTTATGTTACTTTCTAGATATAGAATCTGGATTTTGAAATACAAATTCACTTAATATTAAAATATGTTATTGTTTTCTTTAACAGTTACCAGCCCCATGTTACAGAAGTGAGAAGCAACAAACTGTTCCTCGCAAAGTATTTGGAGAGAAACCTGTCTGCAGCACTTCTAACTTTATTGAGGTGTGTTATTTTCACATGTTTTTTTTTAACATATAATCTTAAAGAATTTTAACCAACCACATTAAATGTAGTTAGATGAACTGCTTCTTGTAAAATATTCATCATGAGTTGGATCGATAGCCTATTTTCCTTTTTATTGAAACTTACAAAATTAACAGAAAAATACTTAGAACACTTTCTTTGGTTTTGTAAATGTATTTTTTTTTTGTTTCAGGATCAACAGTTTAAAATAATCCAAAAACTTAAGATGAAATGTGAAGATCAAAGGAAAAAAAATTAAAAGATTAAATGAAAAAGTGAGGAGATAAAGTAAGAAAATAGCTGATTTTAAAATTTTAATGAAGGATATAAAGGACAAAAACTATGTTAATGATGATCATGCGACTATGTTGGAGCAGTGCGCAGGCCCCAAAGATTTTCTTAAGAGACAAATTTCTAAATCGGTAGGATTGCCTATGAAAAGGCAATACAGCGAAGAAGTTCGAAAATTCGCATTGACGCTTCACTTTCTGTCTCCAAAGGCCTATGATTTTGTTCGTCGTATCTACAATACGTGTTTGCCACATCCGAGAACTTTAAGTAGGTGGTACCAGAATGTAAACGCTGAGCCTGGTTTTTGTACAGAAGCTTTTAATGCTTTGAAACTCAAAGCTCAAACAAGTGAGATGCCAGTGCTATGTTCTTTAGTGTTAGATGAAATGGCTATCAGAAAGTGTCTTTGCTGGGATCCTCAAACTAAGACTTATTATGGAAGAGTTAACGTGGGCACTGACTGTGATATGGACTCACTAGAAGTAGCCAATGAGTGTCTTGTCTTACTCCTGACCTGTATAAACGGTAGTTGGAAGTTGCCTGTGGGATACTTTTTCATAACAGCTTTGTCTGGGGAACAAAAAGCAGTACTAGTAAAAATATGTATCCACAAATGTGAAGAAGTAGGTGTCAAAGTTGTGTGCTTGACCTGTGATGGTTCAGCTGCAAATTTTAGCATGTTTTCAACATTAGTATGTGATTTCAATTCAAGCAAGACGACTTTTACTTACAGTAACAGCATCGTACACGCTTTTATTGATCCCTGCCATGCTATCAAACTAGTCCGAAATGCTTTCGGAGAACTAAGAGTGTTTTGTGATATTTATGGCAGGGAAATTAATTACATCTATCTGGAACATCTGCTAAATTTGCAGGAAGTAGCAGGACTGCAAATGGCCACGAAATTCACAAAAGCTCACGTACTTTATCAAAAACAAATAATGAAGGTACGACTTGCCACGCAGCTTCTTAGTGACTCGGTGGCAGATGCCTTGGAGCATTGTAATAATTTAAAAATACCGGTATTTCAAGGATGTGAAGGCACAATTAACTTTATTAGGTTAATAAACAATGTTTTTGATGTGTTGAACAGCCGATCAATTAGACCACCGGGGTAGAAAAAGGCTATTGTCTCTGGAAACATTGGTTTGGTGGAAGCTTTATTCGAAGGCGCTATAAGCTACCTTCAAAATCTGACGTTGCCACCTGGGCAGAAACTTGTAGATACTAGAAGACAAACCGGCTTTGTAGGGCTTATTCTGGATATGATCAGTGCAATTCAACTCTATAAATATTTGATTGAGAGCACCAAACTATTACAGTACTTGCCATTATACAAGGTCAGCCAGGACCACCTCGAGTTGTTTTTTTCAGCTATTCGGGCACGAGGTGGCTTCAATAATAACCCAAATGCGGTTCAATTTAGGGCAGATTTTAAAAGATTGTTGATAAGAGCTGAAATAAGGGATGCGGGCCTTGGTAACTGCGTACCCCTGGAACAAATTGATATACTAACATGCTCTTGTAAGACTAACACAGTCACGGCCATAAATGATTTGACAGAAAGAAATTCATTTGTTGAATTGCCTGAGGATGATAGTGAGTTATACGAAGAATTTATTCATTGCATGTACAACAACCTACCCAACTATTCCGACAGCGTAGTTTGTTATATTGCTGGTTTTGTATCAAGAAATTTGGCACGGTATATAAAATGCGATATTTGCGCAAATATGTTGTTTGGCGATCACAAAGCCTATCAAAAAAATTTAAATAAAGAAGGGGGAAAATAAGTATGAAAAAACAACCTGAAATTACCTTTTTTTTTAATAGAAAATTTTAAAAAGACACGACACATAAACTTTTACTTATTAAATCCATAGTCCAAACCTATATGGATCTGAGGTTTAAATACTTTGGAAAGAAAATAACAGAAAAATTTCATTTCGAAATAATTTTAATAAAATTATATTATTTCGTAATGAGTAAGTCGGCCGTGTAGTGTCGATTAAGAATATCCGCTACCTCATATCTTCCCGTGGGTATCGTAAAAGGCGACAGAGGGAAACAGGCAGGAGATGGGCAGCAGCATCTTCGTGATAACAGCAAATGTACGACAAAAAAAACTGCGGTTGCAAACCCGAACGCCAAGCGTGGCAACTATGGCAATATAACCCCCATGAACAATTACATAAATAGACGGCCCCCAGTCCTCGGCGGCCCCGCTATTCCTGGCTACGGTGGCGACCATGGTAACGGCGGGGCAGGGGGTGCTAAGAATCTCCGATGGAGGTTCGGTTGCTACCTACGACGACTCGACCTGGCAACATTTAACGCACGCACCCTGAGGACTGACGAGAAGATCCTGGAGCTGGAAGAAGAAATAGACAAGTTGCGCTGGAATATTATAGGATTATCCGAGGTCCGAAGAGAGGGGGGAGGACACGCTGATTCTCGAATCCAGCAACTTGGTCTATCACCGGGAGGGCGACCATCTGTCCCAAGGAGGTGTCGGATTTATCGTCCACAAGTCTCTCGTCAACAACGTTGTAAATATTGGGAGTGTGTCGACGAGGGTCGCGTACCTGATACTCAGAATCACCAAACGGTATTCGCTGAAGGTCATACAGGTTTACGCACCAACCTCGGCACATCCCGATGAAGAGGTGGAGGAAATGTATGAGGATATTTCCAAAGCCATGCATTCCTCCAAAACCCACTACACGGTGTTGATGTGAGACTTCAACGCAAAACTAGGCACAAGAGAAAACGGTGAGCTGAAGTTAGGAAAATTTGGAGTAGGGCAACGGAACCGATGGGGCCAGAAGCTGGCCGACTTTATGGAGAAAGAGGGACTCTTTATGATGAACTCTTTCTTCCGGAAGCGGCCCCACAGGAAATGGACCTGGTCGAGCCCCGACGATGAGGAAAAATGAGATTGACTTCATTATGACAAACAGACGCCAACTGTTCAGTGATGTCTCAGTGATCGCAAGGGTGAAAACTGGCATCACCGAATGGTTAGAGACACACTGAACCTAAACGTTAAATTGGAGAGGTCTCGTCTAATGAAGTCAACGCTCCGGAGCTCCGTCCTCGTGCTCTAATCCAGAATCCCGAAAACTTTCAGCTCGAGTTACGTAACCGCTTTCAGTGCCTACAAGATTGCAATGCAGTGGACGATAAGAATGACAAGCTCGTGGAAACTGCCCATGCGGTCGGATCTAAGTTCTGCAAGACCCGCCGCAGAAGAACACAAAAATCTTCGATCACACTCTTAATCTCATGGCTGTTAGACGGGAGATGAGGCTGCAATCGTCAACAGATTTGACAGCATACAGGCAACTGAACAGACAGATCTCCAAATGCATGCGGCGAGACTTACGCAACTTTAATACTGCTCGTATTAAAGAAGCGATCGAGCGGAACCAGGGCTCCAAAGTCTTTATCAGAGATCTGTCTACCAGTAAGAGCCAACTGTCAAAGCTGAAAACTGAGTGCGGAATCGTTTCCGGGACACCCGAGATTCTGAGTGAGATTGAGAGGTTCTATGGGCAGCTGTACACATCATCGTTGGAGCCACACGCAAGTGTGAGTAACGATCCAAGATCAAGTCTTATCCGACACTATTCCGATGATATCGCGGACGTCAGTCTAAGCGAGATTAGAATGGCTCTCCAGCACCCTAAAAACGGCAGGGCCCCAGGCGAGGATGGAATTACAGCGGAGCTTCTGATAACGGGTGGAACACCGGTACTTGAAGTCCTTGAGAAGCTCTTCAATTCCGTTCTCCATGGTGGCACTACTCCAGAGGCGTGGAGCAGAAGTGCGGTGGTCTTGTTCTTTAAGAAAGGCGACAACGCTCTCTTGAAGAACTACAGACCGATTTTCCTTCTGAGCCGCGTCTACGTGCTGTTTTCGAGAGTCATTACGAATCGTCTCGCAAGCAGACACGACGACATCCAGCCTCCAGAACAAGCCGGTTTCCGAAAAGGCTTCAGTACCATAGACCACATACATACCCTGCGGCAGATTGTACAGAAGACCGAAAAGTACAATCTGCCACTTTTCCTGGCGTATGTGGACTATGAGAAAGCCTTTGATTCCGTCGAAATTTGGGCGGTGCTACAGTCCCTTCAGCGGTGCCAAGTTGACTGTCGGTATACTCGTATCGAAGTGCTGAAGTGTTCAGTAGGGCTACGACGGCTATCCGAGTACAGAATCAGAGCTCGAAACCTATCCACCTGCAGAGAGGTGTAAGACAGGGTGACGTTATATCCCCGAAACTCTTCACCGCTGCATTGGAAGACGTTTTCAAGCTACTGGACTGGAAAGGATACGGTATTAACATCAATGGCGAGTATATCACTCACCTTCGATTTGCCGACGATATAGTCCTTATGGCAGAATCGCTGGAGGACCTTAGCACTATGCTCAATGACCTCAATGGTGTCTCCCAACGGATAGGTCTTAAGATGAGCATGAACAAAACAAAGATCATGTTTAATGTCCATGTCTCACCTATGCCGGTAGTTGTTGAGAGAACAATGCTCGAAGTTGTTGACGAGTACGTTTACCTGGGACAAATAGTCCGACGGTAAGTCCAACTTCGACCGAGAGGTCAATCGACGGATTCAACGCGGCTGGGCAGCGTTCGGGAAATTACGACACATCTTCTCGTCAGGTATACCTCAATCTCTGAAAACTAAAGTGTACAACCAGTGCGTGTTGCCAGTGATGTATTACGGATCTGAGACGTGGTCCTTTTTTGCTGGCCTTGTAAGGACGCTCAAAGTCGCTCAGCGAGCTATGGAGAGGGCTATGCTCGGAGTTTGTTTGCGTGATAGACTCAGAAATGAGGATATCCGCAGTAAAACCAGAGTGACCGACATAGCCCAACGGATTAGTAAGCTGAAGTGGCAATGGGCCGGCCATATAGCTCGAAGAACCGATAACCGATGGGGAAGA